GGGGGGGGGGGGGGGGGGAGGCTTATGTCACGCATCTAAACCTACATGAAAGACTGCAATATGTAGCGTGAACGCTTGAAACGCTCTTAACCACCAAGTGCACCAGCACTCCAGATACAATGATAGCGTGGAAAAGATTCAAGATCGAATGCCAACACATACTTACATGTGGAGGCGTGCCAACTCGACGCAACAACCGACAAGAACAAACACGACCGCGGCAACAATAAAGCACGTGTATGCATCAAAGCAGCAGCAGCAGCAGCAGCAGCGACAACAATAACAATGACAAGATGGCAACAACGTCAGCCACAGCACACAAGAAAACAGCTGCAGCAACAAGGACCACACCCAACGACAACAACAACAGCAGCACCAGCAGTAGCAACAAACAACACACCTGGTAGAGGTGGACCCTGAGTTCGTACGCCTCCCTCCTGAGCAGGCCCTGTATCTCGTCCTTCCACTTGCTCTTGTTCGTGATGTACGACTCGATCGGTCCGAGGCCCATTCGGATCAGAACCGATCCGGGGAACTCGTTGTTGACCAAGAGGTCTAGCACCTGAATCAATCAATCATGAATACGCGTTAAAACGGACGATTCGGAAGCTAACGCGTAAGAATCATACTGTTCGGGATATGTATCAGCGGGAGTGCGTCGCTGTTGTTTATTGATTTTTGCATTCCACGTTCTTCGTTGCCCTCCTCACCGTTCTTCTGCTCTTGTCGGCCATTGTTCTTGTCTCTTTCTGAGTCGTTTCGCTGCCGACCCTTGCTCTTGTCGGCCATTGCTTTTGTCTGCCCGTGGTTGCTATGTACCGCCCATCGCTGTTGTCCTCTCATCAAGGATACCGAACGACAATATCGCGGCGACCAGCACAACCACACTACACACCCAAACAACACCGCTAGTGAATTGCACGCATGCATGCCACCGCCGCGGTGTGATGAGCTGGTGTTTTCTACCTACCCGAGAATGATCTGTCCCAATAAACAAACGAATTATTCCTATGATGCTTCTGAGTGGGCGGCCGGCCTTCCGTTCGTGTGTGACCCCGGCCGGTGCGTCCAAAGAACCCGTACGTGTACAACAACTGACGTATGCATGTGTACGTGGAACTACCATACAACGCACATAATCGCTTTTATTGCACCTTGTCCTCTTGCAGCCTGATCCACTTGGGGGCACCGCCGAACTTCTCTTCGATGAGCTCCTTCGCCGGAAACCGCCTGAACGAGCAAGGCTCCGCATTCGTGCCCGTACCCTGCACAACAAAAAAAAAGACGCGCACGATTGCTCGAAAGGCTAAAAAACACCCGCCGGAAACAATCTCCAAGTATTATACTCATACTAAAGGATAAGAGAGACGAGAAAAGCAGGCACTGCAAACAACCAAGGCTGTTTGATTCGACCTTGAACATGGACGGGAAGAAATGTTGCGCAGCCGAGGCAGTGTCTGCGTACTGCTGTAGCGCGTGCCAAGACTCTTCACCCCACCAAGCATGACCAAAACGGTAACAACAGCAACGGCCGCAGCATCAGCAGCAGCAGCATCAGCAGCAGCAGGAACAACAACGACAACAGAAACAACTTACGGCCATAAGGTGAACGATGAGGTCGGGGCACTGGTCGGGGTCCGCGGTGAGGTTGAAGTTGCTCTTCTGCTGAAGCGACTGGTACCACTCGCACACACCCTTGTTGTTGTCCACGGGCTCGGTGGACAGCTCGTACCGCCCCACGGAGACGCGAATCCACCTGACACGTCACACGCCACACGTCACAAGTCAATAGCAGCAGCAGCAGCAGCAGCAGCAGTGGCACGGAAGAAAACAAAACTAGAAGCACAGTTTGGTCATCATCGTACAACCCAATGAATTGTTGATTGATATAAACCAATCAACTATTGATTCATGACATAATTAATTCTTACCTGTACCCCCCCGACTCTGTTTCTGTGGACAGAGGTAATTTTTTCGGTGTGTACTTGAAACAAAAGTAAAAAATAAGGTACACACATTGGCAATCGACAGAACACGTGCCCTTTTTTGCCGAAACAAACCCTAAGGATATGTACCCTGTTTTCGTCAATTTCCCGACGAAGCATCTCGTGTGTAGCCTATGCTTCTGCAAAATCACAACACTGCATGATACACCAACCCGATGGACGATGCGCTGGCAACTACCAAGCACTGACCGACGAGGGAACAAGCATCTTGTGGGAGGGGGCAGCGGGGGGTGTACTCATAGCCGTCCACGCCGTACTTGTTACGACCATTGACCTCGCATCCCTACGAAGCCGGGACGGAGCACGCCGGGTTTTCACCGGACCAGCCTATGTAGCACATCAACAGACGCGAAGCGCCGTGAGGTAGGGGACGGGGGGGTACGGGGCCACTGACATTTTCTTGTTCTTGCCGAAGTTGGCCACGTCGGTGAACTGGGGGATACCCGTGCCCGCCCCGACGAAGATCCGCATGGCGTACTGGGCGGCCTTGGGCACGGTGGGCGACTTGATCTTCCTTCTCCACGCCACCTGTTGCGGTTGTTGCAGAAATGCGTTACGAAATTAAATTGAGTCCAACCATGAGATAAGACCTTACCCCCTTACGCCACCCCCCTCCTCCCATAGCCCGTCCGTACTCTAACCAGGATGCCCCCCAAACCTCTGACCTGTTCGTTCATTCACCACCCCACCCTCCCTTCACCCCCCTACGCCCTCTCCCCCCCCCTCTCACCATCACTACCGTAGGAACCCCCTCACTCCCCGATCCCTACGTGCTGCCCTTCCCAAGCAGCGAGACACCCCCCCCCCCCCCCCCC